ATGAGTGTGCGGAAAATTGCGATGAAATATCGGCTCGCGTGGCAACAAGGGAAGGAGGGTCCTCGAGTGTCCGAATATGACACCAACGACGAAGAAAGCGTGAAAAGAGGGTTTAAACGGCTCTTGCTTCGATTATATTCGTTGTCGATTCACAGCTTTTGAATATCTTCGCGGGTACAGTCGGCGGATCGAGAAACGGTGTCACCGATATTTTACTGCTCGACGCATCCGTCTTAGTTCTCTCCCATTGGTAGTCTAAGAGAAACAGGACAAAATAAATACCAAAGAGCATAACGCGTTGGTGTCGACTCGCGGAACGGTTGATGCGATTTAGAAAACGTCGAATCCGGCATCGTACAAATCCTCGTTCGACGTGCAGGCATCCACGCGATGGCAATAGCGCGTATTTTTGAAACACCTGTCGGGTTCGCCGGGGAAATGATAAATCGAATTTCGTTGTCGATTTGGACGCGTTTGGCTGGTATGTGGCCTCTTCGGGTCGGTTAGATCGTCTCGATTCAAGGGAAAACGACGCTCTTGCGGTGGACGGGAAAACGCGCGCTGCCGTGTCAGCGACAAGGCCTCATAGATTTCACAGCGTCGTGTTGAACCTACTCTTGATACCAGTTGTTAACAACATTGAACGTTGTAGTTACAACGGCGTCCGAGCGTACGCGTACACACGGGGACCAAGCGGACGAACGAACGAACGAATGAACGAACGAGCGGTTCTGCTCGTTCCGGCAACAGCGTGCTCGAATAATGGCGTTGAATTTTCCGCGTTCGCACAGCCCGCGGCACGGATATCGGAAAAATCTCGGCAACGCGGTAACGCGGCAGTTTCGATAGGGAACGAGGACGAGCCACGGGCGCGTTCTATTCTCTCGTCCCAACGTCGAAAATGCGCGTGTCGATCGATAATCACTATCGTTGATACCGGTTACCGAGCAATTCTTTTCCCCGCCCGTACCAATTCGTCGATTAAAACGCTGTCCGCGGACGCCTATATAATAGCGTCGACTATGGGAGCTTGTACGATTTCAGGGGGCTCGGGCGAATCGCGCCATGAGAATCCGATCGTTTGCTCCAAGATGAGTATTTCGGCCGAATTTCACGCCCGAAATAGTATTTACGAGCTCGTCAACCTTTATAGAATTTTATTTAGAAATCACAGTATTTTCTCTATTGTTCTGTGGAATTCGCGCGTCAAATTGTATTTTGACGTACTCGAATTCCCACCACGTATTTCTCTGTTTCTGCTTGACTTTTTTTTCCCCCAACATGCTGTGTTCGGCTGTCCATGTAACTTCACCGACGCAACGGTTACGTGTCATACCTTTTTCGACCAAACGACCAACTCGTTGATCACCGAAAATTGTTTCTAATCGGACGACGTATTTCGGATACGCGTTTCGTTAACTCACGTTTGCACCCGTGGTTCGTTAATTTCGCGTTTACTAAAAGTTATTTCTACTCGCTACCATTCAATTTCTATTTTAAGCGTAAATCGTAAACGCGGTGCTGCGTGCCGAAGGGTACCGTGAGCCAACATAATCCTAACCGATATACCAATTTCCTTTTCGAGATCGTTTCGCTGCGAAATTTCGCCTAGTAATTCGCTATGTAAAAGGTGACGGAACGAAGTAACAGGTAGGATTACTATAGTCGTACAGTTATCGGCATCGAAACCGTCAAATCCATCGGGTCACTCTTTTTCCATCTTTTTCCACTATTATTCTCCCCTCCTTCGTCGATCATCCATTTCAGCCTGGAGCGCAACCCAGTTTACGTTCCAGCGCATGCGATCCGGCGCGGTCGCATCAGAATTAATTTCCTTGCAGCGAAATCAAATGGCATTCGATTTCCAACGTGGCTGCAAATAATTGGGAAACCGCGTTAGCGATTGCTAACGACTCGTCCTTAACGACGTCAGTGTTACCTCATCTACGCGTTCGAATGCCCGAAATTGCTCGAATTATTTAGATATTATCGCCGTTGTGGGATGAAAGCCGCGTGGCGTAAAAGTCGCGAAAAGCGATTTGAGAAACGGATACGAATCGTACGAAACGTTTCTAAGTAGCGACGTTTCGAACAATCGCAGGCGACCCTTGTTCCTTTAAGTGGAAACGCGTGTTCCTTTTTTATGGCACGATCGTAGTACACACCGTGGTAGATCCATTTAGTCACAGTTTTTTTCCGCGATTAAACTGTCGTGCTTGACCGCCGCGGCAACAAGATCGAAAATGTTGCCTCTGTTTTAAAGTTCACCGGTGGATTCCAACCGCCGACACGCTGGTGGTTTCCATAGAACCTCTACCATTTTAATAACCAAAGAGACAAAAGTGTTTTTTCCTTCGTTAAGTTTTTTAATCTAAATCCACGAGCTTCCGGAAAAAGCTTTTTGTACCTCTAACAGTTTTTAAGCCAGCGTAAGAGGCGTGAAACTCTCGAGGGCGGTTTCATCTCGCGTGAATCCGTGCACTTGTAGCCAACAGAACCTGCGTGTCCTTTAAACTTCGCCATATCCACTAGCTCTTAGTTTCGTTGAATTCTCTAATAAATAAAAAAGAAAAAAAAAGGAAAGAGAAGAGAAAACTGGACCAAGCGTCTATTTTACCAATTACGTCCCATCGATGTACCTCCATGCAAATATTCAAAACAGTCGTCGGAACGATCGTTCGAGGATCTTTCCATCTATCCGACGTATTTCCGTGACGATGTCTCATCGCCGATGAAAAACGCGGAACAAGTAGTTAGAATCTAAATTTAGCACGACAATTGAGACTCGGTGCCCTTGTGGATACGAGTCGTAATAGGCCAGCCGTGTCATGTAACAGTCGTCTGTCGAGTTGCTTTCGATTCGAGCGAGTTGGTTGCGGTGGAGGCCGACGTGAAGGGCGCATGCCCCGCGATTACTTCGCACGATAATTCGCAACGAGGCGCGTATAACCGGGCTTGTCCGGGAGGATCGCGTGGTCGCCGGTCATCGTATCTCTACCCTTCCTCCCCCGCC